TTGTCCTCCTGTGCCTGTGGAATAACTTACTGAAACACTGTACTCGTATGGTATATAAACAGGCAATATATTTTCATCTCTACTGAAAAAGTAAGACAAATAACAATTTCTAGGAAAAAGTGCAATTAGATCACCACAGGTTTAAACTTGTTTTCTTTAATTTTATATTAAGGCTTGCCATTTGTATTTGGTGTGAATACTACCTGTAAACCTCATTTTGTTGTGCTGGAGTTCTACAGAATTAGTGGACGCTGTCTAACACTTGCTAAAGCCTCCAAGAAGAAGGTATTTGCAACTTTATCAGAGTGGGCTAACATACTCACACAATGCTGCAATGCACTTGCCCACATACATAACAAGAATTATATTCATTGTGACATCAAAGGTGACAACATAGTTATACTACTTGGTTATAGTGACTGTGAAGAACAGTATTCAGCTGTTATAATCGATTTTGGGAAAATGAAAGAGTCCAGTAAGGCTAAGCTCTACAAGTTAAGTCTGAAAGAGCAAGAGAGATATGGGAAATACCGTAACCATATTGCCCCAGAGGTTGTCTGTGGAAAACAAACTCAGTCGGCTGCAAGTGATATTTATTCTTTTGGTCAAGTAATCTCCCTCTTTGCCACTACAATTGTTACGAGGAATTAACAAAAATTGCTGTGCAATGCATCAATGGCACACCTTCAAGAAGGCCAACAATTGACAATTTAATTTCACAATTAAACTCATGCTAATTAGGAAAATTCTGGATGTATTGTACAAGACGATATCATTTTCCGAAATTTATTTATTGTAACCCTATTCAAGTAAAGGCTCTTTTCCACTTGCATGTATCGCAAATCAATCCATCATTTATTTGATCATGTTACCCTCTGGAGCAAAAGATTTATTTATTATATTTATATTGTATTTAACAAATATAAAACATTTTCCATGTTTATTTTTCTGTGTCCACTGTCATGGTACTGATTTAAATTATCTTGTTTTTTTGAATTCTTAACCAGTGGTGATTAAAATTTGTCAATAATGAAAGAGAAAACATTGCAGTACTACAGTAATAGCACATTGAGGAAAGCTGAACCTAAGTTATTCTATACAGGCTATGCATAATGCCTTGTTTCCGCTCAGGACCTGGAAACGAGTCACACTATCATAGGCGTACCGGGCGGGGCTACCGCCCCAGTTTTTTGGGTAGTCGGGCAATATTCGATAAACAGTCAGGCAATTTTGGTTTGCAATAAAAAAAATGGGAAAAATTCTGTTGTGTAAAATTAAGTAAATTTTTTGGCAAATGTTGTAATTTTTCGAAAATTTGTGTTATGTTCCGAAAAATATTGGTTGTCCGGAAAATTTTTTTGACCCCTAAAATGGTACACTGACCGAAATTTTTTTGGCGACGGGGGGGGGGAGGTCGCCAAAATAATTTTTCCGGAAAAAATTTTTTGGTACTAGTCAGGCAAAATCCTGAAAAGTCGGGCAATTTTCTTTCCGCCCCCCTAATTTTTTCCTTCCGGTACACCCATGCACACTATCGTGCACATCGTCGTGTATACAGTACTCGAAGTACATGTGCTGTAGCATGCCTAGAAAAGTGTTTTATCAAATTATGCTATGTATATTCTACAATACAATATAATACAACACACACCATGCATAATGCCTTGTTTGCGATTGGGACCTGGAAACAAGTCGCATCAAAACAGGTTTCAAGAAAATGTTTGGGACTTTGTTATGACTTATGAGTAATATCTTGCTGAATTTTAAAAGATCAAGCTACTGAATGTATGCTCTCAGTTTTTTATATCTAAAATAACCATTAACAGGACACATTTGCAACTTGGAATATAGTTTTGTTATCCCATTCAAGACGTTTTCAGTAAATTGTTGCAGCTTATACAGAGTAAAATTCTAAAGTTGGGGCATTTTGCATTTTTAGTTTACAATTATATGAGCACTTAATAAGTGCTCATATAATTGTCAACTAAACCTAAGGCAGAATTACACATTCTAGTCGGTTTCCTTGGGCTGTCTGCACGAAGCCTGTTTAGCTTAAACAGTGTATAAGTTAAAATTAAATAACCCTCTTATATCTCTCGTTAATCAGTTAACTTCAATATTATGCACTAAATATGTATAGTTGTAAGCATTATTGTTCTATTGAGGTTCGAAACTTTTAGTTTTGTTGTTCGATGAATCTATATACTGTAGACTTGTACTGAACGGACTTCGTACAACTGGCCCCAGAACGATAAACATTTTGTACTGTAGTCTGTAGCTATTGCAAAAAGTCGAGCTATGCATATTTTTATGATATGCATTATCTAAACATAAAAGTTAAAGTTTTCTGGTCTACAGTAGCTACAGTAATTAGCTATAAGCGAAACCGTCTCAACAAAGGGCTTACCACATAATTGGTTTGACCTTCAAATACTGTGACAGCAAATGCACACTTTGTTGAAATGCGTTGAATAGGTAAAAACCTTGAGGTTCCTCCTGGGAACTGCTGGCTCTTGTTTACAACATGGAGAGGATTTAGACCAGCAAATGTACCAACCATTGTGGCAACATACCAGGTAACACACGCAAAAACATACTTCTGGCACACTCCATCCACCATGACTGAGTATGAAAAGTAAAAGTCAACTATACCAAACTCCTTCCCAATGGTTGCTTGGTTGATGCTGCCATCCATACTGGGCCAAGAAGCAATAATTCCTGTCGATCTTTTACTTCTATGTGACATTTTTTAACCAAATTGGTACTGCTATACCATAATAATATTTCTTTATGTTTTTCCTTAGTTGGTCTTGAACAATGTTAAAATCCGTGCCAAACATGACCTTGTAGCGTAGTTACTAAAACATGGAACGACCCACAACGACCCCACTACGACCGTAGTTACTAAAACATGGAACGACCCACAACAACCCCACAACGATCCACTACGACCCCACAACAACCCACAACGACTCACAATGATCCACAACGACCAAAAAACCAGCCACAACGATCCACAAGTTTGTTGTGGGGTCGTAGTGGGTCGTTCCATGTTTTAGTAACTACGCATTGCGGGGTCGTTGGGGGTCGTAGTAGGGTCGTTGTGGGTTGTTGTGGGTCGTTCCATGTTTTAGTAACTATGGACCTTGTAGACCTGCAGAAGAGCAAGGGTATCTTCGTTTTCAAGAACACTCTCCTTGTAGTGGGTTGGTAGAGACAATGCGGACAAGTTACTCCAGTTGATGGTATGAAGAGGCATTTTCTTATCCATTTGTAAGTACTCTAGCAGATTTGAAAATGTTGCAGTTTGACCTTCACAGCTAACATCCACAGAATTTTCTAATGATGATAGAATATCACCAAAATAAGGGTTGAACTCTTGAGCCAACTGAATGCCACCAAGCAGCCTTGCGATGGTTATCTTTCGCATAAGTTGCAACTCTACTGAACTATTGTTTGTCGTAATGCTTCCAACAATACCATTATACCGTTCGAAACTAAAACACCAAAAACTATGGATGGGTCCATAATCCAAAGTCACATCTTTCAAGTGACAGTGCAGATGCATATTTGGAGTTATTGCCAAGTTGCCATAGAGAGTTTGAAACTTTCTGCAAAATTTTAGCAGCATTAAATCTGCTTTAGTTATGTCTTCCTCTGTAATCTTCCTCTTTAGATGTTCATCACCTACAATGTCTTTCAGTGCATATAAGGAGTATACCAAGGTACAATTTTTCCATTGTTTAGCAGTGTAACAGCCATGGTTAGATGAGATTTTTTGTGGTGTGAGATTTTTTGTGACGCCCCATATCTGGGGGCACATCCATCTCCCCGAGCCGTTTTTCAATTTTTGTTAGCTGTTGTTTGGAAATGTGCCCTTCAGAAATCCAAAATTTGAAGACGTACTTTGCAGTTCCTAGGAAAAGGTTATGCATTGGGTCTATTGCACAAAATCATATGATATCGAAGTATTCTAAGTCAAAAAGCACACTATATGAGTTAATGCCAACTTCTCTCCCAATTCTTTGTGCTTCAACTTTGGTTTTGCAGCCTTTAATTTTTTTGGCACTTCTTCTGTGGTCTACATCTGTCTGCAATCCCCAATTTTCATGGTGAAAACCAGAATAATCCTGTTTCTTGCCAAATGAGCCACGAAAATGCGGAGTGTCCTTTTAAGCCACATAACTTTCTTGACGCAGGAATATCACAAGATGTACATAATAAGGCAGCGCGAAACAGTAGTGGGATAGTGCTGAAATCAGAGGCAAGGCATACTACTTTCCACAAAACCTTTAACTCATCAACAAGTGGTCTTAGAAACTCGTTCAGGGATTTGGGTTCTTGATCCATGTTCGGAATTATACCCACAACAATAACATTTTCCCATTTGAATCTCTCACCAAGAGGTAAGTTGAGAACCACCAAATACAGAACGCCAACAGAATAATCATTTCCGTGCTTCATTGATTGGAAATAATCAAAATTTAGCATGAGGCCATAGTTCCTTGGTAAATTCAAAAAATCTTTATTTTTAAATTTTGCAAAATCTTTCCATAATTTACCCTGGTAAACATCAGTCATAATACCATCCAGATTCTCTGATGTTGCATCTTCCCTCGATTCGTCACATTTTTGTGGAAAACCAGGTTTCGTGACAAGCCGTTCGAGTAATGTTTACAGCATGAGCGGCTGTGTTGTATCGGATATACAAACTCGAGCTGAAGGCGAGAGTTTGTATATCAGATACAACACGGACGCAAATGTTGTAAACAACTTAAAAAACGACTCATCTTGTGAGTTCATTGGTGAAGTAATTTTAAAAATAAATTTTGTCTAAGCCGAGAAAATCAATGTTAAAGTTTATGTAAATCAACATGAATCTGTATCACATATACAGACACAACATGCTTTCTGTGTTTTCTTCATGAAATGTTAATGAGTTTTTTAAGTGCATTTATTACACTGTTAAAACTGTAATAATGCAGTGGATAAAACTTGGTAACATTGTCTTTGAGCATTACTTTCTTTACCAATTGACTGTTGCACAAATGTTCCTTTCCTCTTGAATAAAGCTTGTTGGAACATCGTTTTGCAACATGTTTACCATTTATTTCAGATAGACATTCTCCATACTCATAGCACTTGTAACATTTTCGGCAAACAACATACTTGGCAAAATCATCTCTGTCTAGTTTGAGATACTGCCTCACCATGTATATAGACGTTGGAAATGCTGCAACGAGGCTTTCAATAGCGTAATCTGAAAATTGTACATTCAGAACCCGCAATAACTGGAAGAGAAACTTGAGTAGCCAAGCCAGACCATTATCACTTATGTGACAAATGCTCTGCCAAATGAGCAAAAAATACAGAAGCCACTGTAACAAGGAATGGAATGAATGCAACATGCTTTTCTTTCTCTCTAGATCAGGAAGGGCTGGAGGAGACAATATGTCATGGTTGAGAACATCTTCTGGTATGTCAGACCAGCATTCATCTTCGGAGTCTCTCTGTTCTTCATCCTGATCAGGATCACTTGAAGAGTCGGAAGAAAACTGAAATCAAAGTAAAATGGTTTCAATATGCCCAGGCTGTATGTGGAAATCAGCTTCGGTTGACAAGTTAGCATAGGTAAAAATAAAGTTTTCATTTATTTTTTAATAATTATACAGTATAAATTATTATAGGGTAAATATAGTCTGGCTCTTTCCTGACAGGTCCCTATTAAACAAATCACTCATGATTTATCATTTTTGCGGTTCATATCTTCAGTTCGGTAAATGCTACGTGGACCAAAATACCACCATTCGATTCAGTGTAACGATAGCTACTCATTCCTATCGATAGATTTAGTGAATGGCAACATTATAGCGATTTATGAGCTTTGAAAGTCAAACAAGCTCGTATATGATCAAATTACGCAATATTACTGACAAATTATAAACATACCTTTCGCCGAATATAACTTCGTCCCATTGAGACGTATGCTCATTCTGATCGTCTTGATGAATTTAGAAGTTAAAAATAACACATATAGTGTTATTTTCAAGCTTCTATCTTTAAAGTTCGACATTTAGTGCCGAATTTTGTATTTCTACTCCGAATATGCGTTAATCCCAACCGTAAATACGACGAAAAACCGTCAAAACAATGCTACGCTTGTATCGCGTGACTCTGGAAATGCCAGAAATGGATTCTACAGGTCAAAGTGCACCCATACGCGTGAGTTTTACGTCATCCCGGCTAAAGGGAGCTCCTTATTGGCCAAGTATTACGTAATACAAGCGCGTGCTAGTAAACCCCGATACCTTGAAAAATTCAGAATAAATATTTCTAGTCGGCGTATACATACGAAACTTTCTACACGAAAGCGCTTGAATACAAAGAGTATTTTACACACATATCCTTTCAGGAAATGACACCAAAGTTTAGAATATATTCAACTTTTTCTCATTTTCTCCTTTGAATGTTTGGCGAAGCGGTGAGTATAAAATATATGATTGTTTCGGTTTGTGTAATGTTTTGACGGCACTTGACCCCCGTTCGAAAGGTTATATTGTGAGGATTTCAATGGTGGCATTTATTTAAAAGGGGGGTAAATACTCGCCGAGATATTTATATTAGAAAAATTGAATTCGAAATGTAATACGAAACAGATTGTCGA